ATTTCTTCTCCTCGTTGGGAGGGGTGGGCGCAGAAATTCTGTCAGCGAGGAGCCGTGGCCCGTGCTGGCGCCTCGCCTGGCGATGGCTTTTTACATTTATTTTCAAAATAGCGCGCTTAAACTTGACATTTTCGTGTCATAATAATAGAAGTCCCCTGCTGTGACATCTCGGGCTTGACCTGAAGTATGAGGCTTGTCCTCACGCAGGCCCTGCTAGCACCTGGTTCAAGAGCCTCAAATAAAACTAAAAAAAAACTAGAGAGATCCCGAGCCCTCAACTCATTGAGTGCTTTAAACCTAGCAGTTGGTTTTGTAAAGCCTACACCTTAGATTTACTACTAAATCACATCTTCCTCCGCCTCCCTACCCCAGTAACTCACAGGGCTTGCAGCGAGATGCTCATAAGCAGTGAAGCGGCTCATCCAAAGAGCCCAAAGGCCTTGGGTCAGGCTTCAGAGAAGTTTAGTTTAGCTTGAATCTTGTGAAGTTTCCTTTAAATGCACTTTGGGTTCTTTTCAGCCTTTTTTCTCAGAAATGAGGAGATTTTTTCCAGTCTACGGCATCCGCAGCAGCTGGCTCCTCTCCTTTCCACATGCATTAACAGGGAAGGCCAGAGCTGGGATTTCAAACAGCAGAAGGAAACATTAAAATGGCAAAAATTGGTTTTCCCAGCCTGCCACCCAGAATACAAAACCCCCGAGGAGCACGAGGCTGCCAGAGGAATGCCTCCATGGCAGCACCGCTCTCCTTCCTCCCCTCTGACTGGGGCAGAAGAGGAAACCAGAGCACGCTCGTGTTTTCCCAATGACAATTATTTCCTGTATTATGGTAATAACTACAGCCATCCTGCTGACAAGCTCCTGTCCCAAGCGGATCGGCTAGGCAGGCCCTGGTTACTGTGCGATGGCAAAAATGTTTACCCTTTGCACAGCCCTTTTTCCTGCGTCGCTACCTTGCTTGAATGGGCTGGCTTTTGGGCACAGGCTTCCAGCAATGCCAGCAAGACTGGATCAGCATGTTGTAAACAGACCTAATTGCTTTTTCCCCCAACGTTTGAAGACTTTTAAGAGGCATATGGCTTTCACGGTAAGCAACTAAAATTGCTGGTGATAATATTTAGCATGTTGGATACACAGATCTAAAAGTGCATCACTGTACAGTTGCTTTTCTGCTGAGCCACTGTGCCTCTTCATTACAGTTAATGCTACACCTCTTCCATCATCCTTGTTCTCAGCAGTTCGTGTAGGTAAGGGTCTACAAGCCCACCCTGCAGACCTCAAAGTCCTCCTTGACCACCATCATTCACCCATAGTTTGTAGGGTGCTGGAGAGTGGCTCCTACCTGCACCTCACTTCCAAGTCTCATGTACAAGACACCCTAAGTCCACACGTCTGGAACCGCAATCCTTTCAGCCAGTCAGCTAACACAAGTGTGAAAGCAGTCCTTTTTCATTTAACAGGCTTTAATCTTCATTAAACCTTGCTTGGTTGTGGTTTGGGGCTATATGATGAGTTGCCAATGGTCCATACAGAAGGTTCACTTGCCCTTCAGATTAAATATGAACTGGGTAAAGTCTCAGTTGCTTCTATCCTTTTTTTTTTTAATTACTCTAACCTGTGAAACATCTCCAGACATCTATTAAGACTGAGGTAAAACACCCAGTGCAAAAAGAGAGTCCTGTAATCAGCAATTTGTGGGGACTCTGCAGAACTGAACAATTTCCAAGGAAATTGGGCATCTCTGTACAGTACAGGGAAATGACTCATTTCCAACTAAAGATAAAGCCTACTGCCATGCAGAGAGCTTGCAGATGCACTGCTGAACATCCTAACTAGGCACTGAGAAGTATTTTTTTTTTTAAATGTACCTGGAGTGCTGAGGTATAATGCAGATGAGCATCAGACCCGTGTACAACTATGGGGCCCTGATGTTCTGGCCACAGGCACACAAACTGCCGGTGACTGTTTTGGGGAGCAAAAGCACAGCAGAAGCCGATCCTCGGTTGCAGATGCTGATGATATTCTTTATTCCAGAAGGCACGAGGCTCGGCTGCACTGCTGCAATCCCAGTGACCTTCAGAGGGAACTGAGCCTGAGAGCTTTAAGTGAAAAAGCTAATCAGTGATTGCCAGCAGAGACATGGTCTAGTACTTCTCCTGTGTTAGCCTGGAGCAACTCCAGGGTGCTCACAGATTCGTCCCACTGCAGAGAGAAACCTCAGTCTGACTAATACCATCAATCCTAAACACCAGATTTTAGCTGTTAAAATCCCATGATGCTAGGTTTAAAATATTCAAGCCCTGATGATGTGGTCAGCAGAGCTGTTTGCCTGCGTATTGTCTCCCTGATCCCTGGTTCCCCTATACTGCTAAGAAAACGCATTCAAATCCCCAGGAAGAAGCACATTAATACAGCTGCATCCCTCTTGATCAAACTTTCCAGACAGCTCAGCATTTTCTAAATAAAAACATACGTTTGGAAAGGTTGCATGCGATTAACCTAAAAGCGAGGGCACACTGACCTCTTCTGGGCATTTCGAGAAGTGGCAACAAGGTAGAGAAGAGCCTGCACAGCTTTCTGTGCTTGGTTATACATAACTATCCAGGGGCAACAAAGCAATGGTCGTATTTTCCTGTATTTAGTGCATAATAATTAAGTCTTCTCATTCATCTATTTTTATCTTGATAAGGGTGTTCCCTTAACCACACACATTTACTGCAAAAATGTCTATCAAGCTTCTCACCAGCTAAAGAGTATTAGAGCTACTATTCTATCCATCTCTATTTCTGCCCATGTTTTCTGGAGTCCAAGGATTTCTTTTAAGTGCATAGTCGTGGCCTACAAACACTACTAGTATGACCAGAAAAACCATCACTTTTCTTTACCACCCCCAAGAAAAGGTCAACTCTCAAGCATACTATCATCTAGCTAGCAATTTGGCTACGTTCAGAGTTCTACAGAGAAGCTAAAGGAAGACTCTAAAACTCATATCTATATTTTACCTGTTTAAAAACTAGAAGTTTCCACCTCTTATGTGCTCCTGTTTGCCCTTGTAAGACATACTCACCAGCTCTGGCAATGGCTACACTTCCTGCAGCTAGAAGCCAACATCTTCTATCAATGGTAGTGGCACTGATGGCCTATATATAGACACACATGGAATTAATTGAGCTGATTGAGCTCTGTAGGCTCATGCCTGTTTGATGCAATACTATGCATAGCGTGGATTGATACTGCGTACATCAATAGGATTGACCACCAAGTCAAAAAGAGCCATGTGTCTCCAGGAGCATGACTTTGCACTACAAATACATGCTATTGTTTAAAGCGGGTTATCGTTCCATTAAGAGAAATTTGCAGATTGGGTTCTCACTGACAAGGGATTTATCAGCTGTGTTTCAAGTGTCAGGGTCCTGAGTGTACCCTCAGGCTTTCATTGCCCCAAGCAGCCTCACCTGGGCCTCTACCCAGCACCCTTTGCTCATCAACCGTGACCTCCATTTAAGCGCAGGCCAAGGAGGCTTGCTCTTTCTTTGAGGCGATTGTAGGGTAGTCCTGGCTGTAGTTCTGTCTTTTGACTTTGCTGGGTGAGCTCTGGACTTGTGTTGTAAGTAGTGCTGGTTTTTTGTGTTCCTAACTTGGTTTCCTGGTTAGGCTGTGGACGTGCTTCCTCGCTTTGCCTCATGATCACTGGGTGGTTGATGAAGCTGGTTATTGCCCCTCACTCTCTTTAGGCATGGTAGGGCTGGGTCCTGTTTGCATGCTTACCTGCAGTGCTGTCAGCATCCTTTGCCCCTAGCTTGTGTTCTCCTATGGAACAGCCCTGTTCTTGTTGCTTTTTAGCACTAGATATATCATGTTAAGATGCTTACTGTGCTTTCCCCACCTCAAGCACTGCATCAGCCAGAAAGATGAGTTTCTATCATCTTTCCATGAAAGAATAAATACACGTGTGCCTTAGAAGTCCCCTTT